AATGACTAAATTATTGTAAACAACCATGTTACTTGCTAAAAAAAAAGAACCATTACATCATCATGCGCTATATACAGCAATATGCAGAAATTCTGACCACTTTGACTCATATTCCAACTATATATAAAACATATCAGAAATTATGGGATATCATCGCTGATATTTTTTTCAGATACTACTGATCCTAGGAAACTTCAAAAAAATATCAGTGACCATATCCCATAATTTCTGATATATTTTATATATAGTTGAAATATGAGTCAGTGTGGTCTGCATATTGCTGTATATTGATTTTTGGTTGTTTGTATGTCAGTAATCATACCTTTCTTCTTCATCCATCCTTCAACAATATTTTGATATATCATACAATCATATATCTGCTCACTAGATGAGTTCTGCAATTAAAATTTATATGAAATAAAATATTCTTTTATAAAATTAACTTCTTTATAGTTTATGGAAATAACTTTGTCTAAATTATTGTACACAACCATGATATAAATAAATTATCATGATTATCATAATTAATCTAATTAAAATTTTTCATGCATAACCAACAATTACTAAAGTTCTATAAAATATATCACATAAAATATATCACAGACTTCTGAGATATATCTAAAATTATTTTGAAGCCAAAAGAAGTTCCGGCTTTCCATCTACATGTAAAAGTGAGATATATATCGAGAAATCAAATCAACGATTCCAAAACAACTTCCGAAAACAACTGGACTTCTAACAGCTGATACAAAAACATGGTCATATGCTACAGATTTTCCACTAATATACAATATGGCTTAAACCTACAGTGATTATCTTCAGAAAACAAGTTGAAATGCAATAGCTTAAGCAAACTATGATTTACCCAATCTTTGTCTGCTTGCTTGAATACTTTGTCGAAGTTTTCTGTCCTGCTGTGCAGCTATGCGATCAAGGGTGTGTTAATGATTGACAGGTACCTAATAAGGTAAGGTTGCATATTGATTTACGATAATTCCTTTTAGAAGATTCTGTGTATTTTAAACATTTTTGTAAAAAATGTAATTTTTATAGTATGACTTTTAGTAAGATATTCATGCAGTCATGTTTTCAATAGATTGAGTAGAAAGAAAACATGAAAAAGGATCGTATAATATTTCACACAGAGTTCAAACTCGAGCGAGATTTGCCTTTCGACAAAAGCTGATATCGTTTTATCGCTTATTCTTCACTTGCAATAAATACAATAAAAGCCATTCCTTCATTATATCTTATAAATTAAGTTAAGATGCTTACAAGTGCGAACTTTGTCAGCTTGCTTGAATACTTCGTCGAAGTTCCTGTTATGCAGCTGGTATCGTTTAAACTCGGCTCCTTATAAATCACTAGCAATAAATGTGACCTAAAACCCAAGATTAACTTCAATATATCTTGGAAATCAAGTTTAGATTCTTGTAAATGCGATAATTTCAGCAGATTCTGACACTACTTACAGAAACTTTGTCTCGGTTACTCGAAGTAGCTTCCCTTCCTGCTGTGGAGTCCTATGATCAAGGGTGTGTTAATGATTGACAGGTGCCTTATAAGGTGAAGACGCATTTTGATTAGGGAAATTCCCTTCACGTGATAACCCATGGGTTAAAATATACTCTGATTGCCTTTTGCAGAAGATTGTGTGTATTTTTAAGCATTTTTGATAACGCCTTATTTGTAATATGACTTT